CCAAGCATAAAATAAAAAGCACATTTTGAAATGTGGGATTGACAAGAAACACTGGAACAAAGAAATCAAGGAGACTTGTGAAGTCTCTGTTGTTGATGTCTTTCAGGTAGAAACTACTTCTGTGAAAGATATACTTAACTAAAGTGCAGGAATATTGAGGAAAATAATAAAGTCCTGCATAACGCAGGAAGCCAGAAAGATGGCGCAGTTGTCCACTGTGGTTTAAATTCCACGCAATGCTAGGTTAGCACCCAATCTTTCTATTTTTTGTTGGTCAGTCATATTGGACCAGGGACTTTTCTGAGTAGCATCTAATTACCTTCTGAAGCTCATGATGTCATTCTGAGCACTGGTGTAATAGTATCAAGTTGCTGCAGCAGTAACATGCTGCTCTGAATGCCTGAAGCCAGCAAGAGGGACACTGAAAAATTATGTATGAAGGTAATACCCACAGAATGGTCTAGCGCCTCTCATGTAGGAATGAGGAAAAGAGAATGAGTAGCTGTCTCTACTGGCCCACTTCTCCTAGTGACGAGAATTAAAAACTAAGGCTCTCACTTAGCAAGGCCTCATGTCTAACATAAAACACTTCACTAAAGATAACAAAACTAAAAAATTATACTAGTCACCAGTGGTAGAGCAAGGAGAAACACTGGTCTTTTTGCAGGAACAGCAAAGGTTTGAGGACTCCTTGCACCTACAGGAAAGCACAATGCTGGCTAACACATGTTAGTGGAAGTGGGTACCATGACAAAAGGAGAAACATAAGGGCAGTACATGCTTATACAAAATTTAACTAAGTTCGCTCAAGAGACTGTCACAACAAAAAAGACCTTTAAATGAGTATTGTGTATGTCTTGGAGAATCAGAATCAGAAATAAGTTCACTGTATGGTCTCTGGATATGGCCAGATTATCATGTAGCCACTATTTCTTCTGCCATAACCATTACTTTCCTCTTCTAAATAACACCCTATATAAGGATGCACCATGTATGATGAATCGCTGAATATCCGTTTTTTGGTAGAGCTACAACAAATGCTAAGTAGTTTCTTTTGTGTAGATACAGAAGCATGGTAGTAAACAGAAAGCCAATTGCTTCACTTTAGCTCACAACTTTGTTCCTCCTTTTTTATTGCTCTGCAAAGGAAACAAGCTATGTAAGTCTGAAGATCATTCTTTGTACTATCTCATTGCTCGTGAAGATTGCTCTCTTCTGCATAAGCCAGCTATATGCAGAATGAGAAGACATAACAAAGGAGATGAGAGGAAAAGGTGTCACAATAAGTGGAGAAAGAATGGGAACTAATGAGTTTACTCATATAAACATAACCAATACACTTGCTAAATGCTAGACTATCAACGTGTTTATTCAGAAAAGAAATATTTTGCTACTACACCAGTACGAAAGAAGTAATATGCATATGAATCCAATTTTTATTTATCGTTGCACTAGTTCTTCTCCATGACTGCACTACTTCAAATTTTCAGTGAGTTTGAAATTTTCTCTTTAAGCAAAGCCAAAAAATAGAGCGTACATCCTGATACAGGATCCTTTAGTGCTGCACAGATCTAGTCAAAGAGCTTTCAGGGTTTCACCTCTCTCATTCTGAATGATCTCCCTACAGCACATTTCTGTAAATGTATGACATTAGTGTACGCTGTTTTCTGCAAACTCTTTCGTCCTTTGGGATATCTGGAAAGCATCGAGGGAGACCAACTCGGACAGAAGACATTTCACACACTTCTGTCATCAAGTTCCATGGCTGACTTATTTGCGTACCATCATTTAAACGTGTAAGAACCTAACCTGCTCTTTGACGTGGGAGCAAGATCATATCCCAGCATGATTGTATAGTAGTAATACATCGGATCACCAAGCCACAGAAAGTGACATATTTGTTGTTTTAATAATCACGTGTTGGCTCAAATGATACCATGTAACTCTATCTACAGTTCATCCACTGGACAAAAGCTGTTACCACTTTATTTAAAATAATGTATTGATCCCCGTTTGCTCTTGAAATAAATAACCTGCAGTCATCATCTAATTCAGTGATGTTGTAAATTTGTGCTTGTAAGCCAATTTCACATATATGTCAATAAGTATTTTAAGGTTGGCATAACTTTGAACTAAAAACCTACAATTCAGTTAAACTTTATGTTTATTATAATTATACAATGATATATAATTATACTTATTCTATTTCCATAATAATAATTATATGTATTTTTACTATGCAATTTTTGATGCAGATTATTCCTGTGAGGTGAAAGAAATAGTACTACTCAGACTTATTCCTCTTAATAGGGGTACACTTGTCCTAGTTACCTCTATAGTGAACGCAGGGAGACAGGTGCCCACTCTGGGACAGGGTCTCACCTTTGGTATTTCTTAGTAGTTCTAATATTAAACTCTGATCTTGGATGATATAATAAAATCCCACTTAAGACACTTTAAAAATGAAAATGCATGGCTCAGGCCAGTTCAAAGAGGGAAGAAATCCACTGGCGTGGCTTTTTTTCTTCCTTTTCTATCTCATTTTGTACTGTCGCTTACCTAAGTCACTAGCTCTAACATGAGCCTTCTACATGTTTCTTTGAGTTTTTGACAATATCACCATTAACATCGTTAATTTTCCTCAGTTCCTTATATCTTGCTTTAATGTGTGTTGAGAGGTCTAACTTACACACTTAATGATTCTCCTCTCAACGCTTTATTGATCTAAGCCTAATTTTCAAAGGAGTTGAACACTTAAAAATGCTGCTGAGGTAAGTGCGAATTAAAACTTTGAATATAACAAGTACAATGCGAATGGAAAGGTTAAAAAAATTCAGGTTCTCAAAGTGTGGCATCCAAATGGAATAGATACTTTCAAACGTTTTGGAGTGGTTTTTTTTTTCCCCTGACATGTTACAGTTCCAGTCTGCAAAATGGGCACAATATCACTTTTAGGTCTGAACAATATGTTGAAGAAAAATCATCAGTTAGTTACACACTCAATATTACGCTTTAATCTTCAAAAGACAGTCCATGACAAAACCAGTAACTTCATATAATGTGAAAGATGTGGAGGATCTGCTGGAAGTAGAACAGAGGAACATGACATCTATAATTAAATAAAAAGGAATATTTAATAGCCATTAGATGTGCACCGTCCTGTTTGTCATTAAACAGAGCAGAGATCTTGTTACAAACAGTATGTTATTGTGTAATTAAATGTATTGGAAATGCAAATGCACATGGGAGTTGAATTAAGACTGCAAACTATGTTATTAATGCTTGGGCGGGGGTGGCCAGCAGAAAGAGTATTGTGAGCATCTCACTGGTAGAAAGATAAAGACAGATGCTGAGGCTCTACAGTCTGCTGTTCCCATTGTTTGGCTCAAGGCAACTGTGTGCATGGCCGAGATTATAAAACAATCAGCGATCCTGTTTTTATAGAGATTGGAGTGAGACAGCAGTTCAACTTTATGTGTGAATAGGAAATGTCCATAATGAATGTATCAACGCCCTAATTCCCACTGCAAAATGGAAAAAAAAAAAGTATTTCCAAATTCATTTATCCACCATTATAACACAGTGTGTTAACTCTGAATCTTTGCCTCAAAAATTAAGAAGTTCAAAGAGTGATGTCTCTAAAACACAGCCATATTTATAACTGTTCCTAAAGGAGAACTAATAAATGGTGTGTTTCTGCAGATTCAATACTCCACAGAAAAACACTCTAAAATATGCTAAAACTGGATATCCATAGCTTTTCAGTATCCTGGATATTTAATTGCGTAACAGTAAGAGTCATAGTAATTATAAAATCCTTAATAGCATGTTAATATGCTATTAAATATGCTTTAATAGCGTATTCACCACATAACTTTTGATTCTCCCTTACTACGTTGACTTTTTCTGAACAGGTTCTCAATCCTTACTGTGAAACTTCAATAACCTCAGCTTTCAAATTTTCATGTTCAACTTAAGTAAAATTTAGTACTATTTTTATAACTTAAAAAACCAATATAAAACATAGTTTTGGGGCCTACACGCTATTACTCATTTTGTTCAAGAACTGGTCTTCTGTTATTATTATTACTATTACTGGAATTATTAAACTGGCCTTCAATAATTCACTGTAGTTGACTAAGATCAATGATGAGTAATACTAAATCCTTCCACTTCAGATAATTTAACTGAGATACTAAATATCAAGATGCCTAAACAAACCAAGAATTATTGAGAGACCCAACTTCAAAACCACAAACTGGGCACAATTTAAATCATAAAAATACTGAAATGTTTGAGTCTGAATATCTTCCCAAACTTTTGGAAGCTGACTAGATTATCAACTCTCAAAACTGAATTATTTCTTGCGATACCACAATCATAAATATTTGTTATCTGTTCTACTGAACTACCAAATTCAGTAAGTCAGGAAACCAAAAACATAACATAGAGAAACCAGCCAGTCAGTTACTTCATTATATTAAAATTCTGAATAACCAAAGGTTTATTTCATGTCTTGGGCGTAATCTGTCCCCCCACCCCCCACCCCTTACTGTATCTCTCTTCTTTGTATATATATGTTAGGCTCTGACATTTGCAACAAAACTGGGGTCACTAGTACTGGTTTCTGTTAGTATTTTAGATAATGACCCTAAATTCGTATTTTTATATATCTTAGATGTAGCAAGGTATGGCCTATCCCTGCAATAAAATGAAAAATTTTGAGCAATTTTAATATTCTTTCATTTAAAATTACAGCAGAAACATGTTGCACAAATGACAATATCTACATCTGTGCTGCCAGTGATTAAAACAGCTTAGATGGTTCAAATTGTTAAATCTCCTTCAACTGAAGAGAAACCTCAAATGCCAAAGCTCAGTTTGTTGTCAGCACGCTTCATACTCAGCTGCTACCTTTCCATTTTTTAGTAGTGCTTAGAAAGAAGTCACACATCAAGGTCAGTTAGCACACTCACCAGTTGTTCACCAAGTTTACTCACCCTTTGACCTTCTTTGCCAGGTGGACCTTGGGGACCCTCTAGCCCTGGCAAACCCTGAAAATACAAACGTTAGACAAATACAACATTCAGTGGCTTTTTCATCCTCTATTATTCTATAGAAGTAAGACTAAGCCAAAGAGCCAGATGTCAAGACAAAGCATTTATTTCTAATAATAAAAATAGTTTATTCATAATAACTTCTTTCAGGATAATGTTATATTCAGTTGTGAGAAAAAACACAAACTAATTATTAATCACATTCCTCCATATAAAGGCTGAATCATTTGGAAAAGAAGAGGTAAGTCAGCACTACTTAAGCATAGTTATATTTAACTACGGTGTTATATGAAAAGTGATTTATCTTGTTAAGTTAGGATACCATAAGAAAAAAAAGTTGTATTAAATGAATGACAACTTACTCTACAACTCAAATTCAAATATAGGCACTGAAGGGGGAGGGGAAGGGAAGGGAGGGGAGGGAAAGGGGACTACATATAGCAGAAGGCCTTATGCTCGCTGTATTGTAAGAACCACTCCTGTGCAGCTTCCTCTGTGTGCCTGACATGGCTTTTCAAAACCCTTCAGAGGCACTTTTTTCTTGCCCTCTCCCCTGACCAGGCACAGGAGCTTTGGGTGTTTTGAATATACCCTCGACTTGTGAGCCTTCCTTCTGAACTCAGTGCAAGGATCTGCCTTTGCAGTCACAGACGGAATCACAGACTGTTTCTGACGCTTTGGGGTTTTAATTTTATATCTGATTAATGTACGACATAATCATAAAGCCTTCAGGTAACAGCTCTGTACTTAGAACAGTGCCCCCCCCTTTACTTTATGAGTCACCTTGGAACACAATTTAAAAAAAAAAAATACTTCGAGGAAGCTATCCAATTTCCATTATAGCACCAAGAAATACGAAATCAGTTTCAATATAATCAGCAAAGAGCACTGAACAGTTCTACTTTGTATAATTAAAAAAAAAGTATTGAATGTAATATTGCATATTCTTACAAGGTATCACAAAATTAAAGAACTTATGTTTAGTTTCTTTAAGAGTTTGCCATATAAAAACATTAAATTCTTAACCATTTAAATTACTCAGGTATTGCTTCAGCTTGAGTTACATCTTGCGTCAAATTCTCAACTCCTTATTTAGAATCAATTACAGATACTTATTGCCCCAACAAGGGTAAACTGAGGCCTCCTGAGAATCATGTTTTTAAAAAGTGTCCAGATTTCCAGAAATGAATTAAAAAAAGTTCCTTTATGATCTCTAATTCCCAAGATAAACTTTAGAAAGTGGGCATGCCAAAGCTGCTAGCTCATATATCTTCAAGTGATATTTTAAGTTGATTGAATGAAGTCTGACTTCAATTCTAAATAAAAGCAGTCAGTTCAAGAGTTTTTCTATTCCCATCATTTCTCTACTTTCAAACACTGAAGCTAGAAGAGTACCTCAGACAGTATTTCACTATAGGATATTTCTCCTTTCACTTCAGTTTATAATGTAAACAAGGTAAGGTTTAGGATCTTTTACAAAACTGATGCGCACCATTTCCATCTTTCCCCCAAAGTTTATGGAACTAGAATATGCATGACAATGTTGTATCCAACAAATAAATCACGGTAAGTTAATTATAGTGCAGTTATGTAGCTTATACATGCACAAACCCATAAAGCAGTATGTGAATGTGACCTCTGTAAACCTTCTCTACTTTTTCCTCAAGGTAGTTTGGAACTTGCAGAGAATTCTCTCTGTCCAACTGTTAGCAATATTCTACCGTTGTAGAGAAATTCTGGGAATTCAGGAAGAGGTGGAGTTCTGTTTTGTTAATATTTCATTTCTAGTGACAACTTTATGCAGGGGAATGAGATGAAAACCTGTAACGTCTGTTTTATGGAGGAGGAAATACTTAGCTTCACATATCTGTACAATAAGGGTCCAAGGGGACAAGAATTACACAAGAATGTAACAGCACAATAATGATAATTAATAGCCAACATTTTTGTCCAAGACCTACTTCTATTCTTTTTCTTCTCTCTACAATATTATTGTCAAGAAAAAGGAACCAGATAAGGAGGTTTATCTTCAAGGAAAGGGAGGAGAGCAGCTTACAATTGGTAACTAGGCAGGGAGGACTACCCTGTACAAGGAGCCACATCCTGACATTGAAACTGAGGTAAAAGTTCACACTAATTTCAGTGGGATCTTCGGTTTAAAAAGGACAACATGGGCCATGTTAACTAACATGGCTGTAAAACTGTAATAATTTGGCAACGGTAATGACTTAGCAATGCTATCCCAGTTCAGCATTCACTGAATGAGATCCTGGAAAAACAACTGAAGAAGAAACCTGCAAGAGGAATGAAAAAGACTTCTCTACAGTGAAATCTGTCTAAAGGGATGAATAAAACATCCCCTGTTAAACTCCTATAAAACTTGGCAATGAATGTAACAGTTTAGCACAGAAAAGTTTGTATTTGTAGGAAGGCAGACCAAAGTAACTACTTAGGTCTTATCCCTATTTAACTTCTGGAGATCTTCCTTTGGAGAGCAAAGATAAGATTCTCGACTCCCTCAAATCACAGACGGCACAGTGGGTAGACAAGCCCCACCAAAGGAGCCCACCGCCGCAGACAGAAAGGGACAGAATATAGACTGAATATATACACGTGGCCTCACGGGATATGCTGTCGATTGTGTTGAAAACGTTTATGTCAGAAGGCAATCTATTTTACATGTACCATCTCCCCAGGTAAACAACGTACAAAGCAATTAAAATGATTCACTATGTTTCACCCCGATAGTCTTGCACTGGCAAGAGGATGGGTATGGCAATGAGCAAAAGGAGGTGTAGGAATAGCACAAGGCAAAGTGAGATATAAGAACAGCCTACTCCTGTGGCATCAGACTGGCAGGAAAATATTATGCATCCTTACAGGTGGCCTAATACGCATGGGATTTTCCTGAGTCTGCCAGGCCACCTTTGAGGTTGGAAGGTGGTATCCTTCTACCTACTTCATGGAGAAGTGAACTAAAATAACATATGCAGTCTTTAGTGCTTGTACCTGTCATGGACCAGGCAAGCCCCTTTGAGTTATGTGCCTGAAGGAGCTTCAGGAACATGAAGTGGAAATGTCTCAAACATTACCGTATAGCCTGGGGAAAAAAAAGTAAGCAAGCTGGAGATGGGCTCAGGTGCATCTGAAACTTAGAAAATCTATTACAATGAGTGAGGATGGCTATGAAAAGAGATGAAACATGATTGATGCACAGGCAGGCACAAGAGGGTTGTACTAAATCTTGAAAATGAAGTTAAGAGCGGAAATTTGTGAATTCCTTTATAAGAGGTAAACCGTAATGGGAAGTGTTGGCAAGGGAAAAGATGCTGGTTGTGGAGCTAGATAAAGAAAAAGCAAGCATGCTATGAAGCACATGCTGACAGATATTTAAACAAAATATCGTCAAAACTTAGACTAAGTGTTAGTCGAGGGCATATAGGAAAAATGACAGGTTTAAAAAATACTACAGTAGAATAGGTGAGCTTTTAAAAGAACTTGCATGTCACTGAAGATATCTGTAGGAATTCACATTTTAATACTTAACAGTTAATATTTTTTGCTAGTATCAGGAGATAAAAGCTACTAAGAATTATTAAACTTGAGATGGTAGAAGAAAAATGTGTTTGGAAGTGATAGAAAAATCAGCTAATGGTTCAGCCAGTTAAGCTGTTTTAAGTTTCATAAACTATCAATTTAAAGTGTATTAGCTGGCATGTAGCTATCAGAAGCTGCTTATTACAGAAGGGCTAAAATCCTGTCATGTGACCCTGCAGGTACAAAAATATTTTTAAATGCCTGATACATCACGACAAGCATCCGCAGAGACATGGTGGAGACTTGGTTCATAAATTTAATAGCTCAGAGTGACTGCCTAAGAACACACTCCGAACAAAAGCAAAGCTTTTACGTGACCTCTTGGTGAATTAAAACGAAAAAAAATCCCAGCTGAAGTGGAAGAGTGAAGTTACTTAAAGTTGTTATTCATATTAGTTCTTCCGGAAGCTTATGGACGATGCCAAAAGAGTAAAATATTAGACAAGTAAGTACATTTTTGGTATTCTGAAAGTTGCTTCAAAACATAGCTGATAGTTTTTGAAGCAGAAGGCTAGACAGCTGCTTTATGTACTCGTAGGTAGTCTTATTGAAATAGGTTCTGAGCACAGCAGCCTTTCCTTCTCAACACAAATTAGAAATATAATACAAATGCTAACAATAACAAGGCAGGTCTAATTAAGGCACAGAAATTATTTCATTATAGACCTTTATAGACTGGTTTCTGTGTTCTATACACAAACTACTCTCATCCATTTTTTTCCTCACTATGAATTCCAGCAAACACATGACCTCAATTTTTATGGAATAAATGCTACTAGACAGGAAGAAAGTGTATTTAGTTTAGTGAAACGAGTCAAGCAAAGACAGAGACAAAGCCTAAATTAGGTATGCAGAAACACCTCACGGTAATGTAAGAATAGGTCATTTTTTAACCATTTGAATATGCGAGCTTTTATAATGATAGAACTTGCTACTTTAAAAAGACCCAGCTATGATAGACATGATTTGGCTAAGCAATTTGGAAACAATATGTTTATAAACAGAAAGGTATAGCTCTACTGAAACAAAATGAACACTTAAACCTTTTTACAAGTGAATTGGTGGGCAATTCCCACTGCAGGGGCTTGACCTAGTACTTCAACGCACAGTTTTCACTCGGGTAAAGAAAAGCCGTCACACTGATGAATTTCATATACAATGACCCCTCTGTAAAACCCGCAAGTAGAGCAGCATAGAATCACACGTATCAATAGCCAGGTAAAAAGTGACCACGGATTTCCAAATTCCTGACATAACACAACATGTGATCATGGTAAAGAGCTGCAGCCTGACTGACTTGAAGAGCATTCCCCAGCCACCCAAATACTGCTCGTGGGATGGATGGTTCTGCTGTGGCTGCACTCATGCAAGAATGTTCCAGCATCCCAGACAGGATGCAT